TACAAACATCTGGTAACGAAACAGGCAATCATGCCAGACAGATTAACTACACGTCAAGAGATCACACGCAGGAACAGGTCAAGATAAATGCAAATCCGACGATCTACCATAAAACACTCGAAACACTTTCAACCTAATTACATTCAAAATGAAATTAGAGGAGAATATTTTAAATCCTCAATGACATAAGGCATTTGAATGCAAAATCAAACCATGTAAATCCATGTCTTATGATGTGACCATCTTATTTTATATGGTTTTATAAATCTCTTGCTAATGTATCTAATGTTGTTTCCACTATTTTTGTATTACTGTACGCTGTCACTATATGTGCATAAAGAACAAACATTGTAATTGATGGAATAAAGTATTTCGACTTTGACTTTGACACTCTCTCTCTCTCTCTCTCTCTCTCTCTCTCTCTCTCTCTCTCTCTCTCTCTCTCTCTCTCTCTCTCTCTCTCTCTCTCGCTCTCTCTCTCTCTCTCTCTCTCTCTCTCTCTCTCTCTCTCTCTCTCTCTCTCTCTCTCTCTCTCTCTCTCTCTCTCTCTCTCTCTCTCGCACATACACATACACACACATACACATACACACACACACATCCTTCCTTCCTTCCTTTATTCCTCCCTCCCTCTCTCCCTCTTTCATTTCTCCGCCAGCACTAAGGCGCCCAAGTACTGATCTGTTGGGGAGCTGGAGGCCCTCGAGCGCCGTGGGAGATGCGAGCCCCGAGGACGCCCAGCGCAGACGGGACCTCCGTGTAGGTTAAGGGCGCTGGGCATCCGGTGTCCGCCTCCTGTATTATTTCTGCTGTTGCTGTAGTCAAGTTCATTCACATCCTAAGTTTATTTAATCCTTTATTTCATTCATACATTAAGGTCACTCACACCTTCAGTTCATTTTTTACCTTTATTTCATCCATTCCTACAGAAATACATTCAGTATTTCCATTCTGCATGGTGAGAGTATTAATCATTGCAGGTGTATTTCAAGACTATTCTTGAGGCTGAATCATTATCGTTAGTGAGATGAAATTCTTTTCCTGTGATACTAATAAGCGATTTTTTAAAATATATCATTAAGCGATAATTGACATTTTGCACGAATTAATTGGTAATTTAAGTTCTGTGCAGTTAATTGACACGGTTTTAAACTTTAGATATTTCCGTTATGTATGTCTGTATAAGAATACATCGTTTCAAATACACTAGATAGACAGAGAGATATAGATAGATATACATAAATGCGTATATGTGTTTGTGTGTGAGTGTGGGGGTGCAAGTATGTATGTGTGTGAGACCTACACTTTAATCTATTCTAGAGGAGAGAGTGCGTTTCCCTCACAGCTCTTACCTTCGAGAAGCTGCAGAGGAGAGAACTTCTCACTCCACCGCAAGGCGAGGTGGAGTGTGAAACATATTGAAAAGGGGAAATTGAAATGTATAGAGTGAAACGTGAAATATGTATGGAGTAGACAAGTACAAGAATATGTTGACGAAAGTGCAAGAAACCATGAAATAGAAATTGTGAAGTACAGAGTGTACAAGAAAGTGTTAAAAAAATGAAGAGTGTACAGTATGGGTCAAAGGAAGAGTGCAGAGCAAGAGTATGAGTATGAAAACGTTTATACACGTATCCATTCCCTGGATTGCTTTAGACGTGAGCTGGAATTTGAAAACTGTGCAGTGTGGGTTCGAGACGAGAGGTGAGGCGGGCGAGAGCCGACGGAGCTGGTCGAAGGGAAACGTTACATCGCCACATTCTATTTTTCTTGCCAAGTAATTTGTGGAAGATATGAATGGCAAAGAACATCTTCAAGTGCAAGAGAAGTATATGGCCGCCCTCGATCGTATCTTCGTCAGTTTGTGTAATTCTGCATCATGTAATTTGACTGCAGTTTCTGTCTCGATCCCGCAAGCAATCCCCGAGAGGGATTCTTAAAATGTGACAGAAACGGGCATTGAGTTTATCATGAAAGACTAAGTTTCTGACAGTATGAAGTCTGAAGCTAAGTAACAGAGCGAGTGTTTTTACATTATGCATGTGAGTTATCTTATATCAAGTCCTCTTATCTTATCCACATATTTCATTTATCTTTCAACGCGTGTAGCTCTTCGTGGCATTTATGTTGAATCTTGATAATATGTTGTTTCAACTATTGATGTAATTCTCCTTTTATTCATGCATTTTATGCATTTAAAAAATCATTCTCTGATTCAGTTATACTCGAAGCGCTCTCTCTCTCTCTCTCTCTCTCTCTCTCTCTCTCTCTCTCTCTCTCTCTCTCTCTCTCTCTCTCTCTCTCTCTCTCTCTCTCTCTCTCTCTCTCTCTCTTCCTCTCACTCTCTCTCTCTCTCTTTACTCTCACTTCTCTCTATCACTCTCTCTCTCTCTCTCTCTCTCTCTCTCTCTCTCTCTCTCTCTCTCTCTCTCTCTCTCTCTCTCTCTCTCTCTCTCTCTCTCTCTCTCTCTCTCTCTCTCTCTCTCTCTCTCTCTCTCTCTCTCTCTCTCTCTCTCTCTCTCTCTCTCTCTCTCTCTCTCTCTCTCTCTCTCTCTCTCTCTCTCTCTCTCTCTCTCTCACACACACACACACACACACACACACGCTCTCACTCACTCACTAATTCACTCACTCTCTCACTCTTCTTTCTATTTTTTCCAGTTCTCTTGTCGTGTGTTTTGCCAAAAAGGGTACGAATGTGTCTTGTTTTTCGCGAATGAGTTAATGCCTGTTTTTACGTTCATCTTTTATGCAGTATTCGCCGAGGAATTTATGTAATTAACATGCATTACACGGACTGCATACAGCGTTGCGTTCTGTATGAAACCAGGCTCACCCAAGGCCACCACTTTCTATAAGATACAGAGAGACTAATTCTTTTCACTGGAGTAACTGTAGAGACCTAATAGCCAGTGCCAATTTTCAGAATCAAAAGTTTGTGTCGCTCATTCAAGTCCGTGCGCACCAAGGAGCAAACAGGTCCAGTGCGCACTTAGGCTCATGCAGTCCCCTTGTATGTATGGCTGTAAGTTACATCTGCAAACGAAACATCAAGGTATTCCTTTGATTTGGATGCACATGGGAAAACGTAATGTACAGGATGGTTACCATTAATCGTATAACTTCCATTTAGAGATAATAATCCTTGATAACAATGACTCGCAACAAAGGCATGCTTGGTCATGATGACTTGCATTTATTCGTCTCAATGCTGAAAATTAATCCATTATGCTTTTCTTGTCTATGTCAGATTATTCAACTTTCTTTATTCTCACGCGCCGATAAGGGAGAAGAGGAACACGCTCACAAAATAGCCATTGATATTGTTTACTTATTTGCTTGTATATCTGTCACACATCTGCACTGCCTAGACGCAAAGATAAACAGGCGGCTGAACCCAGCTACAGGGCCCTCGACTTCGGCCCCGCGACGAGGCTTCCAAAGCGCACGTATCATTGTTGCAAATCACGCCACCCGACAAGGCAGCAAGTCACCCTGACGGCGCAGCAGCGACGACTCGGGTTGCTCACCAGACGCGCAGGCGAGAGACGCCTCACACCTCCACTGGGGGTGCAAGTACTGCCACAGCCCTTGGGGCAGCCATGGGTGCCGGGCCTCCCCTCCCCCTGGGGAAGGGAGGGGTCTGGTCGGCCATTCCTCGGTCCCTTGATTTGTTTCATAATGATGATGATGACAATAGTAATAATAAGAAGTATTATAAATGATAACGAAAATAAGGATAACAAATCATTAATGATGATATAGATACTAATAGCAATAATGATAATGATGATAACGATGATGATAAAAACATCTATAGCTAGCAGAGTGCATACCTCCGCCAAGGCAATAGGGTCACTGATGCAATTAAAATGTTCACACGCAAAATTACATTAAGGTCACCTTTTTCTCAAATGCACGGACGACTTCCGTAAACATGGCCTCCTTGGTGGAGGGAACAAAGGTAAGGATAATGATAATAGCTGCCCCTATTACCAAGGCAATGGAGGCGACTATGCAATCATTTTTAAAAATCCCGGATCCGGACTATGATCTGGATCACCTAATTCAATGGCACTTAAGTCAGGCACACCGGTAAGAGTTTCCAAAAATCTGTTCATAACTTTTTTTTTTTTTTTGAGTTATCCTGCAAACTAAATAACTAAATAACCAACGCTACCATAAGCATAACCTCCCCGGCGGAGCTAATTATCCTATAATTATTTTTTTTCCAGGTTCTGTGCATAGATCGTGGAGGCGGGGGGGGGGTGATCAGCATGCACGCACCCTCTCCTGACGTGGGCCCAGCGCCCAAGGTGTTTCACTTGATAGAGCTTTCTCGAGGGCGTACGAGCGTCTGCCTCACGCCCACAGCCCCGCCCAAGGTCAGCCGAGTGCCTTGGCGGGTGAGGGAGGACATGGCCCGCGAAGGCGCGCCAGTCGCCGCTGGGCTGCAGCAGGGAGAGCAGGTACGTCTCGCGCTCCGGCCGAGAGGCTGTGAGAGGGCCGGGTCGGGGCCTCCTGTTCTTGAGTTCTTGGGCGGATGTTCTCGCGCCGCTGTTCTTGGCGAGTGAGGCCGGGATCGCCCTCCTTAGGCTTTGGAAGAGGAGCGCGGTTTCCGGGAAGTGTGGCCGCCCCGCTTCGTCTTCCGAACCAAAGCCTCCGAGAATCCAAAGGCGGCAGGTTTATGCGCCTGATAAGGAGGGTTGCGATGATTATGATAGTGATCATGATATAGTAATCATAATGATGATAATAATAATAATGAAAATGATGATAATAATAATAATGAAAATGATGATAATAATAATATGAAATGATGATATAATGAATTGATAATAATAATAATGAAAATGATGATAATAATAATGATAATGATAATAATAATAATACCTATAATGATAATGATAACAGAAAAAACACGAAAACGGCATGTTTACACGTCTGATTAAAAAAAAAACGGGAACTGCGCATTGCAGGCCCAACCGCAGTGCGAGACCGAAGCGCAGCGGCGCCCGAGGGACCAAACATGCTGACCGTCTTTCTCGTGACGGTGCTGGTGATCCTGGCCTACTGGAGCACGAGGAAGCCGAAGGAGCTGCCTCCAGGTGGGTGGAGGCTCAGGAAAATGTGCCATTTTCATTCCAGTATTGTCGTGATCTTATCCATCTTTATAGCTGCATAGATGTGCTAATCTGACCGGCAGTTCTGTCTCAGCCTTCCGGCCAGGGAGAATCGCCGCAAGGCACGGCGGCTTCTCGCAAAATGCCGGAAAACTGTGCTAAAGCGATCGCGAATTGGAACCCCAACGGACAGCATAATCAGTCAGTTCGTATAAAATCCTCCTCACATGTCCTCCTTCCCCTCGAACCCGCAGGTCGATGGGGTCTGCCGCTGGTGGGCTACCTGCCCTCCAACATCTCCGTCTTCAAGGAAGTCATGGAGGACTTCAAGAAGGACTATGGAAGCATCTTCACGTGAGTTAAGATACAAGTGTGTGTATGGGGTATGTATGTATATGGGGGTGGGGTTGCGCGCGCGCGCGCGTGTGTGTGTGTGTGTGTGCATTTATGTATTCGTATGTATCCGTGTACTTAACATAGTGTGCATATGCGAATATTTGTATTCTTGTGTGAGTATTTGCGAGTGTAGTTTCAGTCACCCCAACAAACACAAAATCTCACTCCGAAAGTAAAACACATTTGCGTAAACTAGAGAACAGATCTCTGTTTATGCCGCCTATCAGACCCTTGCATTAAGACCAGCAAAAACACAGCCGCTCCTTTTATTCCAACAGACCATGCACATCCGTCTCACTCCAGCGAAAGCTAAACTGACACAATACGTACATCTTTTTGTTTTGTTTTGTTTTTTGTCTCTCTTTCTTTCTTTCTTTTTTTCCTCAACTCTCCTCTTTCAGTTCACCCTAGCTTCGCTTGAATATTCAGCTTCATAAACAGCGCCATAAAATTATAAAACTTCGCGTGCATGGAGTACATGAATATTTACAACAAAATCAAGAAAACAAAACCAAAGAATTCTGTAAAAAAAAAATACATCCCTGCAGCTCTTTCGGTTCCCAGTGCCCTCAACGCAGCCACATCGACTTACTATTTTAACATTTGCAAAGTCACAGCATTTCAGGCCAGCTCTAAGGTCTACTGGAACGCCTTTGAAACGCATTTTTAAGCCCGTAAAAGTCCCCCTCGACGACCTCCTGGAGCCTTCCATGACGTCATCCAATCTCAGGAACTGTCTCTCATCCTCGTCCTTCCGATCTGGTCGTCTTTTTCGTCTCCTCTCTCCCACTCTCTCTCTCTCTTCTCTCTCTCTCTCTCTCTCTCTCTCTCTCTCTCTCTCTCTCTCTCTCTCTCTCTCTCTCTCTCTCTCTCTCTCTCTCTCTCTCTCTCTCTCTCCCTCTCTCCCTCTCTCCCTCTCTCCTCTCTCCCTCTTCTCCCTCTCTCCCTCTCTCCCTCTCTTGCTCTCCTTCTCTCCTTCTCTCCTTCTCTCCTTCTCTCTCTCTCTCTCTCTCTCTCTCTCTCTCTCTCTCTCTCTCTCTCTATATCTATATATATCTATCTATCTATCTATCTCCATCATCTATCTCTATCCCCCTCTGCCGGCAGCTGGCGCGTGGGCAGCCACGTGGTGGTTGGCCTCAACGACTACCCGCTGATCAAGAGCGTGTTCTCGATGCCCCAGTGCCAGGGCCGCCCCGACCTCTTCACCTTCAACATCTTCAAGTTGAACACCAATTCGGGTGAGTTCCGATGGGGCTTTGGCCGGTTTTTATCGTCTTATTTATTTATTCATCTTATTTTATCGTTATTATCTTTTTTGGTCTTGGATTTACATTTTTTCTAATTTAGTAGTTTAGTTGTGTTTTTAGAATTTCGCATGTTGGCCAAAATAATTTGACCGTTTTCTTTTTCGATTTTCTTTCGGTCTCGTTTCTATTTTTGTCTTTTTCTGATCTGTATGTCACTGGGTTTCGCTCCCCCTTCTTTTTTCTACATATCTATCCTTCTATACATCTGTCTATCTGTCTGTCTCCCTATGTATCTATCCTTATCTATCTATCTAGATCTATATGTCTATATTTGTCTTTCTTTTTCCTTTTGTCCTACATTCGTTCTTTCTTGTTTTCCTCAATTCCCTCCTATTCCTGCAAAGCCACGCATTCTGGTCAAAGATGCAAGAAAGAATAAGAAACTGCTTGAACCATAAATGTGTTATATTCCTTAACAAAAACGCACCATAATCGGTTTTCTACTACTGATGAATAATTAACAAATATACTTTTCGTGTCCTTAGCTTCTGGTAATCAAATAATGCAGAGCGAAGAGGCATTAAGTGGAAGGGAAAATATCACTTCTTTCTATATTTTTTTTTTTTTCGTGTCATCTTTGTATATAGGCAGTTGTATATAGAGATGTTGGAATTATGGCAGAACACTTTTCTTATTGGAGGGGATGTTTTTTCTCGATTGGAATTTAGATACATGTATACATACGTAAACCGATAGATGAATGTATGGGTAGGTAGATGTAGATAAAACAATAGATGCATACATAAAGAGATAGACAGAAGAGGTATGGACAATCAGATAGAGACAGACAGAGAAACAGGGAAATAGACAGTTATATAGATAGACAGAAAGACGCGCAGCACGACGGCTAGACAGATGGACAGACAGACACCAATCTGTGCAGTGCAAAAGTAGCATCTTCGTTTAGCAGTCTTGCTGAACCGCGTTCAAATCCCGCGCTGCCAGTGGATGGCAACCCGGCCGTTCCCCGTCCGCAGGGGTATTGAGAAGCAAACAGACGGCCTGTCACGCCAGACGTAAACATGCCATGGGAACAAATGGAATAAACAAGATTCTCTCTCCGTCTGCTGCCCGCCAGGCCTGGTGTTCTCGGAGGGGCGCGTGTGGCACGAGGGCCGCCGCTTCGCCCTGCGCCACCTGCGGGACTTCGGCCTCGGCAAGACGTCCATGGAGGACATCATCGAGCGGGAGGCGCAGGAGCTGGTGGCCGAATTCGGCAAGTCGGGGGAACAGCCCATCGAGGTCTCGTGGTCGCTCAACGTGGCCGTCCTCAATGTCATCTGGAGGATCGTCGCCAGTGAGTCCGCCGCCATTTCGGCTTTTCCTTCTCCTCCGTTTTTATATATATTATTTATTTGTCTATTTGATGGAATACGCACCAGCACGTTCGAGCACAACCCCGGACGGCTCATCTGCCCCTGATTCCCTTCCCTGTCCCCTCCCCTTTCCCCTCCCCGTCCCACCCCCCCCCCGCCCCTGTCTCAGCCCTCGGCGCCCTTCCGCAGACCGGCGCTACAGCATCCACGACCCTGAGATCCTGCGCTTCAGCCGCATGGTGGCCACCAACCTGGAGATCATCCAGGGCCCGGCGTCGCTGCTCGACATGTTCCCGTGGCTGGCGCGCGTGGCGCCGTCGCTGCTCCTCGACCGCTGGATGCGCATCGACGTCCTCCACAAGAACCTCGCCGACTTCCACAAATTCGTCATGGTAGGGATTTTTCTGCATGTGTCACACGCACACACACACATACACACAGAGGAACACACATACACACACATACACATATACACGCACACACACATTCACACACACATACACACCCACACACGCACACGCACACGCACACACACGCACAGAGGCACACACACACATACACACAGAGGCACACACATACACACACATACACACCCGCACACGCACACGCACACACACCACACACACATACACACACACACACACACACACACACACACACACACACACACACACACACACACACACACACACACACACATATATATATATATATATATATATATATATTATATATATATATATATATATATATATATATATATATATAATATAATATATATATATATATATATATATATATATATATATATATATATATATATATATACATACACATATATATATATACAGGCGTGGTCTAGCCAGGGCGGCAAATTGGCGATCGCCACCCGGGCCTCTCACATGTAAGGAAAAAACAATACGTCCCACAATGATCGCTTTCTTTTTCTTCTTCTTCTTCCTTTTTTCTTTTTTCCTTTTTTTGTTAAACACCCATGGATTGTTGTTTTTTAACCTGAAGCGGCCCTTTGGGTTTGCTGGCCACCCTGCATTTATGATGCCAGATCGCCCCTGTACATATATGTGTGTGTGTGTGTGTGTGTGCGCGCGCGTGTGTGTGTGTGTATGTGCATATGTCTGATTGCGTGTGGAGGTGATGACTGTGGTGAGGGCCTTTGAAGAAAGTGATGTTAGTTGCGCTAATCAGGCCCGTAATGATGATTGTGACTCCGGTTATGTTCGCAGTCCTTGATTTGTTCCTTAAGCCTATTGGTGATGGTGGAGACAAAGCTGCAATGATCTGGTCTGATGAATATGGTCCGTCCGGTTATTTCCTCGTAACCTGATTATATAACCGGTTAATCACTTGAATTAGTCTTTGTTTCATTCTCTTATTTCTATTTATTTGTTCTCACTTTACATCATTTTCGTTTTCGTGTTTTCTTGATTGTTGTCGCTGTTCTTGTTCCTCTTTATCGCTGAGGATCCTGTTGCTGCTTTTCTTTTGCTGTTGCCCTTCGGCCCTGAAAGAAGGTTGTTATTTTTTTTTCTTTTTTTCTTTTTTGGCTGAGGCTCTCCTTGTTTGTTTGTTTTTTTGTTTGTGGTTGCCATTGTTGTTGCTGTTTTTATTACAGCTGCCGCTGTTGCAGCTGTTGTCCTGACGGCCTTTGTCCCCCAACAGGACATCATCGAGGAGCACAAGGACACGATGGACGTGAACTCCCCGCGGGACCTGATCGACACCTACCTGGCCGCGCGGGGGGACGAGCCCGCCTTTGGGGCCGCCGACGATAGGGGGGAGAGGGGGGGCTGGGGTTTGAAAGTAAGGAGGGAGGGTGAGATTGCGGAGACGGAGAAAGGGATAAATAGTGAAATATAGAGATGCAGAAAGAGAGACGAGAACAAATCAAACATTTTCTAATTCTTAACCTCTCTCCCCCGTCCCCCGCTTCTTCCCTTCCCCTCCCTTCCTCCTACCTCTTTACCCCCCTATCCCTATCCCTTCTCCTTCCCCTCCTCCCCCCTCCCCTTCCACCACTCCCTCCTTCCTCCCCTTCCTCCCCCTCCCGCCCCCCAGATATCAACCTGTTCGCCACCATCAGCGACCTCTTCGGCGCCGGCAGCGAGACCACGTCCTCGACGACGCGCTGGGTCCTGCTGCTCATGGCGCTCCACCCGGAGGTGCAGGCGAGGGTGCAGAGGGAGATCGACGAGGCGGTGGCCAGGAACAGCCTGCCCTCGCTCAAGGACAGGGACAAGTAAGGGCGCGAGGGGTTGTGGGCGGGACGGGGTGCTCGCTCTTCCGTTTGCTCGTCTGTTCCGAAATGTGATTCATGTGATTGGAACTCGCTTTCCTGGGAGAAAAAGAGGAGGAAGGACGGGAGAGAGAGGGGAGGGAGGAAGGGGCAGAGAGAGAGAGAGAGAGGGAGTAAAAGAGGTTCTAACACCTCTTGGTTATGGTGTTTGAAGTACAGGTGCCGTCAGGGATACACGGTGTGGCTGTTCTCTTTATTTCTAAGAGTTACAACACATACACAAGAATAACGATACACGAAGAACGACACTGTGGAACTCCCGACCGAGCCGGGAGCAGGCAACTCAGGTCACAGGGAGGTCACTGAAGGTGTGAGTGAGAAGGCCCCACGTCCTGCTAGGGCGGGTGACCGTCAGAGAATGAGAATGAGTCCAGTTGGGTCGTTCTAAGGTCGGGTCTCTTCTGCCCTGGTTTGACCTAGCGCGCCGAACGGCGTGGTGCATATTTAGAACAAACATCCGGTACCAACAACAGGCGTACGAATACGGTACGCCTTATTAGTAACTCCTTCAGGGAGGGAGGGAGGGAGGGAGAGAAAGATAAGCAAAGTCAAAGTAAAGAAAGTTGAGGATCTGTTCCCATGATCCCTAACGAAGCCCGGCCGCCTCCCCTTGCAGGATGCCCTACACGGACGCCATGCTGCTCGAGACGTTGCGATACTCTTCGCTGCTTCCTCTCAGCTTGTTCCACGCGACCACGGAGGAAGTCAAGATTTCTGGATACACCGTTCCGAAGGTTTGTTTGCGATATACTGCAATAAATGCAACATTAAAATCGTTTTTTCTAAATGGAATGAGTCTAGCTTTGTCTCCATGGAAAACACATTAATTTATCGCCTGGAATTCACTCTTGTTCCCTTCCGCCATTCTCCAGATCACATTTTTCTACCGAAGAAGATAGAAACTGGTCTCATTAATTTCAGAGAGACCAAGATAAGCTGTGTATGTTCCCTTAGTTTTCCGAGGGAAACAGTTTTTCCTTTCACATTTCAATCACAGTCAACATTTTTGGCCAGTTAAGAAATATGTGTACGGATATGAAATGAAACAGCGCACATGCACACTAAATATTTCTCCCTCACGAAATCTAAAAGCTGATCATTAAAACCTCGCTCTCTCCCTATCTATCAATTAATCAATCTTTCTTTCTTTCTCTCTCTCTCTCTCTCTCTCTCTCTCTCTCTCTCTCTCTCTCTCTCTCTCTCTCTCTCTCTCTCTCTCTCTCTCTCTCTCTCTCTCTCCATTTACCACTATACATCTAAATGCAGGGAACTCTCCTGATGGCCAACGTCGAGGGCTGCCACCGCGACCCCGCCTACTGGGAGAAACCCGACGAGTTTTACCCCGAGCATTTCCTGGACAAAGAAGGGGCGGCTCCTGACGAAGAAGGAGGGCTTCCTGCCCTTCTCTACCGGTCAGTGGGCGCTTCTCGTGTGTGTGTGTGTGTGTGTGTGTGTGTGTGTGTGTGTGTGTGTGTGTGTGTGTGTGTGTGTGTGTGTGTGTGTGTGTGTGTGTGTGTGTGCGTGTCGGTGCGCGAGCGTATGCGTGGCACATAAAACAACGAAGGGAAGAGCAAGAAAACACGAATATCCCGACGGACTTTCAGCTTCCCTGCTGCTCCGAGCCCTGGAGAAGCAATAAAGCGAAAAGGCCTTCGATATATTCCTGTGTTTTCCTGCCGTTCCATCCGTTGTATTATTTACGGTGTGTTCAGTTTGCATCCTTAACAGGTTTATGGATAGCTTTGTAACTTTAAAAGGCTGTAAACCCAAATTAATTCACTCAGATACAGATACACTCAGATCTCTCTTCTGGGCACCATTCCACCCCCCGAGCCCTTCTCACCACGGCAGTACCCTGTTCTTCCCTCCCCCTCCAGGGCGACGCCAGTGCCTGGGTGAGTCCCTCGCCAGAATGGAGCTGTTCCTGTTCGTGTCCGCAATACTGCAGAACTTCACCATCAAGGCCCCGAGGGCGTCACCCTCCACCGCCGAGAAAGGACAAGGGCAACAGGCTGTTCAACATGGCCAGGCCTTACAAGAT